TGCAATGTTGTTGAGTTTTTGAGAGAGTTTTACGGCACTTTGCAACACGAACGTACGCGTGAGCTTAGTTTTAGTAAGAGTTTTACGGCACTTGCGCAACACAATAGAGTCATATAAGTGCTGAAGATTAGAGGTGTTACAAGAGAGAAACAAACATAAAAAAAAGAAAGAGGAGAGATCAGGACGATAGATGTTTGATAGGAAAGAAGGAGCAAACCACACCAGAGCACCCCCGCCAACCACCCACACGTACAGGTCATATTATATAAATATGCTGAAGATTAGAGGTGTTGCTTGAGAGTAACATACAAAAAACAAAAAAAAGAAGGAGGAGGAGGAGGAGAGATAAGGGCGGTGGATGTTTGATAAGAAAAGAAGGTGCAAACCAAACAAGAACACCCGCCAACCACCCTCTTGCATTATCTGTAAGATTTCTTTCTAAAAAAATATAATAAAAAAATACTCCTACACGTTGAGGGTGTCGCTTATGACCAGTTAGCTGGGTAATATCTCAACTCGCCCAGTACTACAAGTGGGTGGTTGGCGGGTGCTCTTGTGTGGGTTTTTTTTCCTTCTTATCTATCAAATAAACATCGTCCCTATCTCTCCTCTTTACTCTTTCTTTTCTTTGTAACATTTGTACCATCCATAATCTTCGGGTATATACGTGGTCTATTTGGGTTGCAAGTGCTGTAAAATTCTGATTAAAACTAAGACACGGTGCAGACTACCCCCCGGGGCTGTGCCACTGACTGAAGTGTCTTTAAGCCATTCCCAAAGGGGGGACATTTCTCGTTCTTATGCACAGTAGAATTGTAAATGGGCTGATTCAGCAATGTCACGCTCATAACTGAGCCTGATCTGCACCTGGGAACTGCTGCTTTTTCTTTACTAATCCTTACTATCGTCATTTTCCTCTATAATTTACTTCTTTTGTATGTTTGTCACACTCTTGTGACCCGCTACATGTATTTCCGGGGTGCTTTGATAGTCGAAGCAGACTTTGTGCCGATGAAGCAAGAGAGGTGAGCAGAGTAAGTCTGATTCCCTCTAAGGTCTTCTCTGTTGACATCCA